AGAACCGACACACGCAGGGCTGCGGCGGGGAGTGTAAATACCGCCGGTGGAGCAGCAGCAGCAGCAGCAGCAGCAGCAGGAGCAGCAGCAGGGTGCCGAGCCAGTGTCCTCTTAGGACCGCTGAGCGTACACCTCACTGCTTCGCTGCTTCACGAGCTGAGGCTTTTCTTTAGGCTGCCAAAGCAGCAGCAGCAGCAGCAGTTGCTGCTGCGAAGTGAGTTAGAGGGAGCGCAGCAGCAGCATCAGCAGCAGCAACACTCGCTAGCAGAGTTGCCTCTCTGCTCTTCAGGTAGTTGTTGCAGCAGCAACTGCAGCAGCAGCTGCAACTCCATGTGGCGCAGTAACAGCAACAGCAGCAGTAGCAGCAGCAGCAGCAGCAGCAAGGCCAGCAGCAGACGGTATACTCAGCTTCACTCTGTTGATAGCCAGGAGCTAGCGCTGAGGCAGCAGCAGCAGCAGCAGCAGCACGGGAAGGGGCGCAGAAGCAGGAAGGATGCAGGCGCAGCAGCAGGCTCTGGCGCTGCTGCTGCTGCAGCTTCTGCTGCTTCTGCTTGGCCGCAGATTCACTTTGTTGTCTCTGCTCCAGAGGTAGATGTGAGGCTGCTGCTGCAGCTTCCTGCTGCAGCCAGCAGCAGCAGCAGCAGCAAAACGACCAGCAGCAGCAGCTACATCGACTTGCTGCAACAACAGCGCTGGCACGGCAGAGTGAGGGGAGCAGCAGCAGCAGCAGCAGCAGCAGCACCTCCTCTGAGCATTCATTGGCTGCACTTCGCGTTGCGCTCTGTCAAGTGAGGACGCCAAACCCTAAACCCTAAACCCTAAACCCTAAACCCTAAACCCTAAATCCTTTCCAGGAGCAGCTATGCCCGGTAGTGTGCATGTCCACCTCATTTCGGTTTTCTGGTTTAGGGTTTAGGGCTTAGTGTTAAGGGTTAAGGGTTTAGGGTTTAGGGCTAAGGGTTAAGGGTTTAGGGTTTAGGGTTTAGGGTTTGCGCTATTTCAGGGTCAGCCGGAGCTCTCTACCGGAGTATGTTGAGAGGGAGCTGCTGCCGCTGCTGCTCGTGCATTGTCTTTGCTTCATTCCTGTGCTGCACATTGCCTTTCCAGCTAGCAGCAGCAGCAGCACCGCTGCTGCTGCTGCTGCGCCGGCGGCTGCTGCTGCTGCACCAGCGAGGGCAGCGGCTTCAGCCACAGGCCTGCAGCAACAGCAACAGAAGCAACAAGTACAGCAATATCAGCAGAAGCAACAGGAGCAGCAGCAGCAGCAGCAGCAAAACAGGCATTGCTGCAGCAGCGCCTCACTGACGGTTGGGTTGCTGCAGCTGAAGGTGGAGGAGCATCTGCAGCAGCAGCAGGCACTGCAGACAGCAGCAGAGGAAGCCAGCGCTGCTGCTGCTGCTGCAGATGATGCCCAGGTGCTGCTGCTGCTCAAAGGGTTGGAAGGTGAGGTGATGCAGGAGGACATCGATGGCAGCTCTCCTGCTGCTGTTGATGCTGCTGCTGCTGTTGCTGCTGCTGCTGCCCCGGTAGCAGCACCGACAAACACCCAACGCACAGAAGCGCTACTGCAGCAGCAGCTTCGTATAGCTGGGGTTCAGACACGCAGCAGCAGCAGCAGCAGTAACAGCAGCAGCGCCCCACAGATATGCTTGTACACCTCAGCTTTTAGGGCCGCTGGAGAGCTGCAGGCTCTGTGCATTGGTGCAGCAGCAGCAGATGTCGCTGTTGCTGCAGCAGCAGCACGAAGTCTCCTAGCGCATGCAGTTGGGGTGTACGCGGAGCTGAAGATGCTTTGCCAGCAGCAGATGGCTCATCATATGGAAGGGCAGCAGGAAGAGCAGCAGCAGCAGCAGCAGCAGCAACCGCTGCAGCACGGACCGGTGACAGCAGCAGAAGGTACCCGTCCCCTCGTTCCTGCAACATCACCCCCTAGCAACAAAGCAGCAGCAGCAACGGCTTCAGAGGCAGCAGCAGCAGCAACGACAGAAACAGAAGCAACAACAGCAATAGCAGAAGCAGGAGCAACAGCAGCAGCAGCAGGAGAGACACTTGCGTGTGCTTCATGTTGCCGCTACAGCTGCCTAGGCTGCTTTGGCGCTCCAATGGGCCTTTCTGCTGCTGCTGCTGATGCTGCTGCTGCTGGGGGCAAGGATGCTGCACTGTCTGCAGCAGCAGCAAGAGAAGCACCGGAGGCAGCAACTGCTGCTGCCAAGGAGAGACCCCCTCGTCTCCTGCTGCAACTTAATGGGGCGTGCTGCAGCATCCGCTGCGCTGTATATGGAGACAGCAGCAGCAGCAGCAGCAGCAGCACTAACAACAACAACATCAACAACAGCAGATACGCCATCAGTATCAGAAGCAGCAGCAGCAGCAGCAGCAGCAGCAGCAGCAGCAGGATACGTGACGCCTTCGCTCCAGCACTACGGCCACACCTCAACAGGAGCAGCAGCAGTATCAACAGCAGCAGCAGCAGCAACTCGTTGCTTGTCTTGCTAGAGGTCTACGCGTCTGTCAGCAGCGGTAGCGGAGTGCTGCTGCTGCCTGTGGGGCCCCCACGAGTTTCTCTGTTTGCTGCAGCGCAGCAACCGCAGCAGCTGCTGCTGCAGGGGAAAGGCTTTTCATCGGCAGCAGCAGAAACAGCAGCAGCCACCGCTGCTGCAGCATTAGCAGCTACTTCTGCTGAAGGACAGATGAGGAAGAGCAGCGGGGGGATCCTTCCGCAGCAGCAGCAGCAGCAGCAGCGGCAGCAGCGGCAGCACCTGCTGCTGTCAGCGGCTGCGCAGCAGCAAAAGGCGGCAGCAGCGCAGCCTCTGGTGACCCTCTGCTTGCGGTTTTGTGTGCGGCAAGCATTGCAGCAGCAGAATAGCAGCAGCAGCAGCAGCGCAGCAGCCCCATCGTTTGCTGCATTGGGACCCCACGAGGAGCTGCTGCTGCTGCTGCCGCAGCCGCCATTTAGGTGTTTTCTGCGGCAGCAGCAGCAGCTGCTGCAGCAACTCACGTACGATGCAGCAGCAGCAGCAGCACCAACGAATTCCGATGCAGCGCGTCGCTGCCAGCAGCTGCAGCTGCTGCGGGCAGAGGCCGTCTCAGCAGCTGCGCTGCAGCAGCCCCTTGTTTACTTTAGAGTCCGCAGCAGCAGCAGCAGCAGCAGTAGCAGTAGCAACAACAGGACCAACTGCGTTCTGCTTTACCCAGAGGTGATATCCCTGCTGCTGAGTTGCTGCGCCACCGTGCAACAGGAAGCTGCTGCTGCAGCCGCTGCTGCAGCTGCTGCTGCAGCTTCTGTTACAGCCGCTGCTGCAGCCGCTGCAGCTGCTGGTTCAGCGAAAGTAGCAGGCGCTGCTGCTAATCAGCCTGAAAAGCTTCCATCTGGGCGCACGCCTCGCCACAGCAGCAGCAACATTAGCAGCAGCAGCAGCAGCAACAACAACAACAGCAACAGCTGGCGAGACCTTTGTGCAGCAGCAGCGCGGCGGCTGTGGCCCTTGCTGCTGCTTGACCCCACAGCAGACTGCCAGCTGCCTGAGTTGCTGCTGTGCTTCTGCAGATTACCTGCAGCAGCAGCAGCACTACACAAAGGAGAACAGCCAGCAGCAGCAGCTGCAGCAGCAGAAGCAGCAGCAGCAGAAGCAGCAGCAGTTGAGGAAGGCAAGCTGCTGTGCGTTCTGCTGCCGAGCATCCGCTGGGAAAAAGGGCTGCTTCGCTGCGGGGCCCTTCAAATATGGGGACTGCAGCAGCAGCAGCAGCAGGTAGACGGGATACAGCAGCAGCAGCGGCAGCAGCAGCAGCAGCAGCAGCAGCCTAAGGTGTGGGTACAACGAGGAGAGATCGGCCCGCTGTCTGTACACCTCAAGACGCGCCGCTGCTGCTGGAATGCAGAGCGCAGCAGCTTCAGCGAGGATGCAGCGGCAGCAGCAGCACCTGCAGCAGCAGCAGCAGCGACAACGCTGCAGGTGCTGTTGCAGTGGGAAAAGGAGCTGCTGCTGCATGCAGCAGAAACAGATGCTGCTGCTCTGCTCCTCTGGTGGCAGCAGCTGCACGGAGGACCCACGCAGCAGCAGCAGCAGCAGCAGCACCAACACCAGTCAAATGCTCTTGTGAGCAGTTGCAGCAACAGCAGCAACAGCAGCAACTGCAGCAGCCTCTGGCAGGAATTAGGCGTGGAAGCAAGCAGCACATTCTCCATTCAGCTGCTGATTTCCCAGCAGCAGCAGCAGCAGCAGCAGCAGCAGCGGGCGGTTGGATTTACTGCGGGGCTGGGCAAAGTGAGCGTGGAGTTCTATAAGCCGCCTGCTCTGTGCAGCAGCAGCAGCAACAGCAGCAGCAACAGCAACAGCAGCGGCTTGCCTGCTCTTCTCAGTGGCTGGCGCTTTCTTGTGAGTCGTCCCTATGCTGCTCTGCTGCAGCAGCAGCAGCAACAACAGCAGCAGCAGATTTTACTGCAGGACCCATACCGCAAGACAATGTTTGGCGTCTTCGCAGCAGCAGCAGCGGCTGCTGCTGGTGGACAAAAGGATGCAGCAGCAGCAGCAGCAACAGAGGCCCTGTTGCTGCATGCTGAAGAAGAACTAGCTGCTCCTCAGTTAAGTAATGTCTGTCTACCTGCTGTTTCTCCTGATGCTGCTACAGGTTGCTGCAGCAGCAGCAGCAGCAGGAACGGCAGCAGCAGCTGGTGGCTGGCCTTTGCTGCTGAGCGAAGGCAAGGCCTGATAACGCTCCACAAGTGCCCGCAGCAGCAGCAGCAGCAGCTAGTGCTGCAGCAGCCGAAGCAGCAGCAGCAAGACAAGGAGATGAACAATTGGTGTCTCCTTGATGGAGAGGGGCTGCTGCAGCAGACATCGTGGGGGCTTGTGCTGCTGCCGATGACGCTGCAGCTGCCTGCTGCTGCTGTTGCTGCAGCGTGTGCAATTCTCCGCTCGTTTGCTGCAGAGCTGTCTGCAGCAAGCGCTGCTGCTGCTGCTGCTGGTGCTACCTCAAGACAAGTTGCTGAAGCGGGGCTGGCTAGGGAGTTGGTGAGGCAGCGCATGCATCACCACAAGGCAGCAGTTGCTGCAGCAGCAGCAACACAAACTGCAGCAGCAGCAGCAGAAACTGCTGCAGCAGCAAGCGCAACAGACGCTGCAGTGCCGTTGCTGCAGCGCAGCAGCTGGGAGATCCGCTGCGGCACGTTGGCGGTTAACTTCCTGGTCTCCTCAGCAGCAGCAGCAGCAGCAACAGAACCAGCAACAACAGCAGCAGCTGCAACAGCAGCAGCATCAACAGCAGCAGCAACAGCAGCATCCCGTGTTGTAGTAAGGATTGAGGACGGCTTTGCATCCGCTGTCTCAATCCGCGCCTATCACCAACTGCAGCAGCAGCAGCAGCAGCAGCAGCAAGATACTCACTGGGTCCAGCAGCAGGAACTGCTGCTGCTGGCGAATGTGAGTGCAGCAACTGCAGCTGCACCAGCAGCAACAGCAGCAGCGGATGCATTCCACAGCTGCAGCGACCGGCTGTTCGTACACCCCGTTAACCTGCGCTTGCACAAGTCAAGGCGAAGCAGCAGCAGCAGCAGCAGAAGCAGCAGGATTGCTAGGGAGTGTTGCTGCTGCACCACGCTGCTTCGGGCTTGCTGCTGCGACATTTGCTGCAGCTGCCGTTTCACCGTAAGTGGCGCTGCTTGCGGAGCTCACAGGCAACAGCAGCAGGAGCCGCAGCAGCAGCAGCAAGATCCGCAGAAGCAGCAGCAGCAACAGCAGCAGCAGCTGCTTCAGCAGCTGCTGCCACGTATGTCCATACCGCTTGGCTTGCGTCTTTATGCACACGCATCTGCGGTGTATGTTGACCTCAGCGACTATACAGTGCTGCTGCTGCTGCTGCAGCTGCTGCAGCAACTCCGACGGCATGCAGCAGAGTCAGCAGCAGCAGCAGCAGCAGCAGCACTGGCTACGTCAGCCCCCAGCAGCAACGAGGAACTTGCTGCATATCTTTGCGATGATGACCAAGAGCAGCAAGAGCAGCAGCAACAGCAGCAGGAGCAGCAGGAAGTATGCATGTTTGTTGATGCAGTAGATGCGCTGCTGGCTGCCCCTTGGGGTGCATCAGCAGCAGAAGCAGCAGCAGCCACAGAAACAGCAGCAGCAGCAGCAACAGCACCTAGGGCTAAGGGCCGTGAGTATCCCGTTGCTGCAGATTTGTTGTGGTGCGGTGACGCTGTCTCCTCTGCTTGTCCGACCTGCAGCAGCAGCAGCAATAGCAGCAGCAATAGCAGCAGCAGCAGCAGCGGCTGTTGCCCACGCCGCAGCAGCAGCTGCGGCCGGCGTTCTGCCTGTTCACCAGCAGCACGCGCAGCAGCAAGAATCGCAACACCGGATGCACCTGCAGCAGCAGCTGCTGCAGCAACTGCAGCAGCAGCAGAACAGAAGGTAGCCGAGCCTGCGTCTCAAATGCTGCAGCAGCTTGCAGAAGACAGACGCTGCATGAGGCGTTTGCTGCTGCGCGCCGGCGGCCAGCCGCCCGTTGCTGCTGCTGCTGCTGTCCCTGCTGGTGCTGCTGTTGCTGGGGAACACATCGCTCTGCGGGCGTGGGGGCTTCAGCTGCAGCAGAGCAGCAGCAGCGGCAGCAGCGGCAGCAGCAGCAACAGCAGCAGCAAAAGAGTTGCCCTCCGCTCAGTTGTGCTGCAGCTGGGCCGATCTGCTCTGCTGGCTATACACCCGGCAGCAGCAGCTTCCTCTGCTACAAGGGAGGAGCAACAGCAGCAGCAGCACCAGCAGCACCAGCAGCTGCTGCCTTGCGGCATTGAAGTCACTTGGAGGATATCGCCAGCGCCGAAGCCAGCAGCAGCAGCAGCAACAACTGCAGCAGCAGCGGTGGAGAGGACGGTGTACCTCAGCAACGTGGCGCTGCTGCTGCACCCGCAAGCCGTGGAGCAGCAGCTGCAGCAGCTTGCAAGCAGCCGTTTGCTGCTGCTGCTGCAGCAAGACCTGGCAGGATCGGAGTCACCCTCATCAACGCAGCAGCAACACCAGAAGCAGAAGCAGCTGCAGCAGGAGCAGGAGCAGCAGCAGCAGCACCAGTATGTGCACAAGCTGTTTCTTAACTTCCTGCTGGTGCATGCGGCAACTGGCAGCAGCAGCAGCGACCTCAGAGCCTTGCGGCTGCTGCTGCACCAGTCAGCTGTAGTGCTATGGCCTCCTCAGCAGCAGCAACAGCAGCAGCAACAGCAGCAACCGCCGCAGCAGCAACAGCAACAGCAACAACCGCAGCAGCAGCAGCAGCAGCAGCAGCACGGGGTAGAAGTCTGTGAGCTGCGGAGGATTCAGTCTTCGGCTGCTGCCTACCGTTGCCTTGCAACTGCAGCAGCAGCAGCAGCAGCAGCCACAGGAAGCTGCGAACTACGTACTTTGGATGCTGCTGCTGCTGCAGTCTCTGTCTGCTGCTGGGCAGCAGCAGCACCGCTGCAGCATCTGCCGCTGCTGCCGCCCGTCCGCCTAGGGTGTAGTTTGTCTCTATATAGCAACAACTCTTTTGCTGCAGCAGCAAACACACCTGCTGCTGCTGCTCCTGCTGCAGTAAGGAGACAATCTGAAGCAGAACTCGCGTGTGCTTGTCTGCGGTGTCTGTACACCTCAGCAGGCCTGACTCCCTCTGTGCTGGCAGCACCAGCAGCAGCAGCAGCAACAACTGACCCTGACCTTGCTGCTGCTGCTGCTGCTGCCTACACTGAGGCCAATGCAGAGCTGCGGCTGTCTCCTCTCCTGCTGCGCTTGTCTCCGTGGAAGCTGCTGCTGCTGCAGCAGACCCTGACAGGGATGTGTGGCATGGCTGCTGCTGCTGCTGCTGCTGCTGGAAGCACACGAGAAACAGAAGGTACAGCAGCAACACCAGCAGCAGCAGCATCTTGTGCATCAGCAGCAACGGGAACAGCAGCAACTGATGAAGAGGCCTCAGACTGGCAGCTGCTTCCTTTCAGGCTGCCGCTGCAGCAAGCTAGCACCACAGCAGCAGAAAGGGCATCATCAGCAGCAGCAGCTGCAGCAGCAGTAAAAGACTGTCCTTGCCTGCCGCTGCGCGCTGCTGCAGCATGCAGCAGCTTCTGCGGCGATGAGGAGCAGCAGGCTGCTGCTGCTGCTGCAGCTCTTGAGCCGATGCAAGCTGTGTACTGCAATATCACATCTGCAGCAACAGCAGCAACAGCAGCAGCAGCAGCAGGCTGCGGACCGGTGTGTGATTCCTCGCAGGAGCAGCTGAGAGTCTTAATCTGCTTCCCTAGGCCGGTTTGTGTCGCTGCTGCTGCAGTTCGAAGCCTCCGCTTCTGCTGCCAGCAGCAGCAGCAGCAGCAACAGCAGCCACAAGGCTGGGGAGTGCAGAGCGTTGAGGTGTACGACGAGCTGCAGCGGTGTTTTGCTGCTGTCGCTGTGGCAGTGCCTCAGCGCAGCAGCAGCAGCCTCCTTGCGCGACGCTTCAGGATCACCCTGCAGCAGCAGCAGCAGCAACAGCAACAGCAACAACAGCAGCAGCAGCAGCAGCAGCAAGGGCTAGTGCCGCAGCAAGAAGTGCTGCAGGAGCAGCTGCTGCTGCTGGCTGCCTTTCCTGTGCTACGGGCCCCCCTGAAGCAGTGGCGGCTGTCGCTGCAGTGCAGCGGCTGCTGCGTGACGTTTGCGCATGCAGCAGCAGCAGCAGCAGCAGACACAGCAGCGGGAACAGCAGCAGCAGCAGCAGGGCCTTACCCATTTGATGCTTTAGGCCTTGAGGCTCCGTCTGTGGAAGCAGCAGCAGAGACGCTTCAGCTGTCGCTGCAGCACGTATCTCCAATCTGCCCGCGAGAACTTCCTGTTGCTCGTGCTGCTGCTGCTGCTGCTGCCGCTGGTCTTGCTGCAGCAGGAGGCGTCGCACTGCTGCTGCGCTTAGGCCAGCTGAGGGCGCGAGTGCAGCACCCGTCTACTCTGCAGCCTCTGCAGCTTCTGCACTGCCCCGCAGTGACACTGCATGCAGCAGCAGCAGCAGCAGCAGCAGGAGCAGCAGCAGCAACGGAGCGCATTTCTCTCCATCCAGCACTGTTGAGGCTGCTGCCTGGTGGTGTGGCAGTGGGTTTGCTGCTGCAGCGGCAGCTGGTGCTGCACCTCGATAGCCTTCGGCTGTGGCTAGCAGCAGCAGCAGCAGAAGCTGCTGCTGCTGCTTTTGCAGGAGACGAAGGCCCCAACCATCAGCAGCAGCACCAGCACCAACAACAGCACCAGCAACAGCAGCAGCAGCAGCAACAGGAGGAAGCTGCTGCAGCAGCTACGCTGCAGCAAATGTCTCCCCTTGCGCCGCTGCTGCTGGCAAATCTGCTGCCGGTCCCGCTGCTGCTGCAGCAAGGGGCCTTTGGGGGGTCCTTGCTGCTGCCGTCAGGTGCAGCACGTGCAGCATTCTGGTGTCTCCCTGCTGCATATCCTAGCAGCAGCAGCAGCAACAGCAGCAAGAGCAGCAGCAGCAAAGACCGAATGGCCTTACGGTTTGCGCTCGCCTGCGGTGGCGGTTGGTCGGCTCCTGTCTTCCCTGTTGCAGCAGCAGCAGCAGCTGCTGCTGCTACAGCTACAGCTGGTGCTGCTGCTGCTGCTGCTGCTCCTGCTTCTACGAGCAAAACGAGTGCACCTGCTGTACTGTGGGAACCGCTGCTGCTGCCTGCGGCTTCAGGAACGTCTTGCGTGCTCTTGCTGCCGAGCCCAAGCAGCAACAGCAGCAGCAGCAGCAGCAGCAGCAGTAGCAGCAACAGGGTTATGTACAAAGTTTGGTTTGGCGTCTGTCGTATCTCTCCGCTGCAAACTTGCTGCTTCATCTGTCCTCCCTTGCTGCTACAGCAGCAACAGCTGCTGCTGCCCCTTTCCTTCCGCACAGACATAGGGGAGCAGCAGCAGCAGCAGCAGCAACAACAGCAGCAGCAACAGCAGCAGCAGCAGCAGCACGGCGACTTTGGGCTCTGCTTTCAGAAGGAAGTGCCGCCAATGCGCAAGCTGTTGGAGGTGCTGCTGCAGAGCGAGCAGCAGCGGCAGCAGATGGTGCTGCTGCAAGATCGAACTGTGTTGCAAAAGCAGCAGCAGCAGCAGCAGCAGCAGCACAGTTGCCCTTCTTCCTGCGTTGGCGAGGACGCCTTTCAGCAACAGCAAATGATGCCGTCACACCAGCAGCAGCAGCATGCAACCCAGCAGCAGCAGCAGCAGCAGCAACAGCAGGAAACGGACTTCGACTGGGCAGCAACAGCTGCAACTGTGGGGAGGCTGGGGCCTGCTGGTGCTGCTGCTGCAGCGATTCTGCCGCCTGCTGCTGCTCCTCTTTCTATATCATTGGCGACTGGTTTGGACCCAGCAACAGCAGCAGCAGCAGCAGCAGCCCCTGCAGTAGCAGCTGCTGCTGCTTCATCGGTTGGAACGACAGCAGGTGCAGTAACAGCTGCAGCAACAACAGCTGCTGCAGCAGCAGCCTGTCAGGGTTCCTTCAGCAATCCCCTGTTGCTGCTGCAGGCAGCAAACGACCACACGCTGCTGCAGCAACGGAGGCAGCAGAGTTTCTTACGATGGCTTCAGCAGCAGCAACAGCAGCAGCAACAGCAGCAGACATTCCAGGCAGGTTTCGTGTTCCTTCCCTCTGCGCCTCAAACCCAGCAGCAACAGCAGCAATTGCTGCAGCAGCAACAACAGCAGCAGCAGCAGCTGGAGAGCACCACATGTCTCTTTTGCTACACAGGAGGCGTAGAAGACGACGCCTTTGATTGTTGCAGCAGCAGCAGCAGCAACAGTAGCAGCAGCAACAGCAGCAGCAGCATGGGGCCTGTGGTATTGCGAATGCGCCCCGCGCTCTCCGCAGTAAACTACAGCAGCAACACGTTGCTGCTGCAGCTGCAGCAAAACTCCTCTGGGTGGACGCAGGAGTTGCTGCTGCAGCCTCACTCTATGCTTCAGGTTCGCAGGAAGCTGCTGCTACTTTTGCTGTTGCTGTTGAAGCTGCTGTTTTTGTGCTTCTGCCGCTGCTTGTGCTGCTGCTGCTTTTGTGCTGCTGCTGGAGCTGCTGCTGCAGCGTTTGGCTTGTTGCTATTTATTCAGAGGGCAGCAGCAGCAAGTGTACGGCTGTGCTGTGCGGTGTATCTGCAGGTGACCGACGCAGCTGCGCCTCAGCTGGTTGCTGCAGCTGTGCACATAGTGACTGCCAATCCTGCTGCTGCTGCTGCTGCTGCAGCTGCTGCTGCAAGCCAGGATATTCAAGAATCTGCAACGAATGCAACAGCAGCAGCAGCAGAAGAGATGCAACAGCAGCGGTGCTTGCTGCTGTCACAGCAAACGATACCTCTAGCAGCAGCAGCTGCTGCCACTGCTCCTCCCGCAACTCCTTTTGCTGCTGCTGCTGCGCAAACCAGCAGCAGCAGCAGCAGCAGCAGCCCATGTGGTGCTCCAGCTGAGGCAGCAACACGCTTTAGCTGCTGCTGGACCTCTTTAAGTCTTATCAAGCCACAGCATCAGCAGCTGCAGCACGAACAGCTGCTGCAACAGCAAACGGAGCAGCAGCAGGTGCAGCAGCTGCTGGATTTGAAAAGATGCGACACGGGTACCTTGGGCGGCAGCAACAGCAGCAGCAGCACCTGTAGCTCTGCTGCAGGCTCAGCAGCAGCATCAGCAGCAGCAGCCGTACCTACTGAGGGAGAACAGCAAACGCATCATCAGCTACAGCAGCAGCAGCAGCAGCAGGAGCTGACAGGATCGGTGCTGGTGCATGCACGTTGTTGGAGTTCGCCTCAGCGCGTGCTGCAGGTGCGCATACACCCCAAGTGCCTCGCCAGCAGCAGCTGCCCCCTCAGTGTCTTTATTAGAGATATATACGGGAGTATTGTTGAAATACCAGCAGCAAGCAGCAGCAGCAGCAGCAGCAGCAGCAGCAGCAGCAGCAGCAGCAGCAAGGCAGCAGCAGCAGCCGTTGACTTGTCTGCTCTTTGCTGCCTTCGCCGGGATCATGTCGCTCCGTTTGCTGCATATATTGGGGTACGCTGCAGGAGCAGCAGCAGCAGCAGCTGCAGCAGCAACTGCAGCTGCATCTGCTGGAGCGAGTCGCTGCAGCAGGTGTCTCTCAATAAGACTCTCCGTGTCTGCATTCCCCTAAAATGCACGTGCAGCAGCAGCAGCAGCAGCAGCAGCAGTAGCAGCAGAGACGGCGAAGCAGCGGACAGCTATGCCGTGCTGCTGCTCAGCCTTAACCGCCGAAGTCCTGAGGGTTGCTGCTGCAGCGCAGTACCGCAGCAGCTTGTGCTGCTGCTGTCTCCTCCCCTTTGGGTACGGAGTCTGCTGCCGTTTGGGGTGTATGTACACCTAGCAGTTGCTGCTGCAGGCAGCAGCGGCGTGTCGCTGCTTGTTAATCAGCAGCAGCAGCAGCAGGCTGCTGAAGAGGCCAGTTGCTGCTGCTGCCTTGATCCTGCAACAGCAGCAACGCTGCATGCACTTGCTGCTGCTGCTGCTGCTGGAGACAACCCCGGCTTGCTGCCTCCATCTCTTCTTGCATCGCCACTTCTGCCCCCTCAGCAGCAGCAGCTCCTACAGCAACTGCAACAGCAGCAACAGCAGAAGCAGCAGCAGCAGCAGCAGGCAACACTTAGCCTCGAGGCCGTTCAGAGCGTTTCCCCTCCTCTGCTGCTGCGCATGGCGGATGCTGCACACTGGCAGCAGCAGCAGCAACAGCAGCAGCAACAGCAGCAGCAGCAGCAGCAAGTGAGGTGGACAGACAGCGTAGCCTTGGTGCTTCGGAGCGACTTCTCCTTGGGAACAGCGTCTGCTGAGAAGCAGCAGCAGCAGCAGCAGCAGCAGCAGCAGCAGTGGCGAGGCGGGGGCTCGGCTCCAGATGTGCTGCTGCCGCTGATGAATCCTTGCACCTCGCGACCTCAGCAGCAGCAGCAACAGCAGCAGCAGCAGCAGCAGGAGTTGAGTGCAGCAGCACTGTGCAGCTTGGGTTTGCTGCCGCCTCTGCTGCTGCGGCTGCTGCATATATCCTACGGTGTCCACTCTAGCGGCTGTCTTTGTCTTTGTTTGTCTCTGTCCTCCTCTCCTGCTTTGCTGCTACTCAACAAAACGCCTTTTACTCTCGCAGTCAAGCAGGCAAGCAGCAGCAGCAGCAGCAGCAGCAGCAGCAGCAGCAGTTTGCTGCGGCAGAGGGTGGCCCCCTTTTCAGCTGCCCACCTGCCTGCTGGGCGGAAACGCCCTCTAGCAGTCTTTGCTGCTGCTGCTGCTGCTGCTGCTGAATTAGAAGCAGCAGCAGCAGCAGCAGCAGAGGGGCTGTCTGCAGGTGCCACCAATCAAGCAGCAGAACAGCTGCAGCAGCAACAGCAACAGCAGCAGCAGCAGCAACAGCAGCAGGGTGATCTTCACCCTTTCTTTGTGGAAGGCGATCCTCTGCTCTTGCGGGCGCTGTCACGTCATGCAGCCTGCAGCAGCAGCAACAGCAGCAGCAGTAGCAGGGCAGCATCCACGAAGGACGGGGTGTATGTGCAGCTTTGTGCTCTTGAAGATGAAGAAGCAGAGGGTGAGGCAGGGCAGAGAAAGGGCTCCAGCTATTCATTCTAGGGTTTAGGGTTTAGGGTTTAGGGTCTGTGGTGTTTTGTCGCTGCCTGTGCTGTCTGCTGCAGGCATCTGCATGGATCTGCTGCACCCCGACAGCAGCAGCAACAGCGGCAGCAGCAACGTGAGAGGCCACTGGTCCCAGCCTTTGCTGCTGCAGCAGCAAAGTGATGCAGTGTCTCGCTTCTTAGTGCCCTGCATACCGAGACAGTTTGCTGCTGAATATGCAGCAGCAGCAGCAGCAGCTGCTGCTGCTGGTGCTGCCGATGGGGCTGGCGCTGCTGCCCCTGCTGCAGCAGGCGCTACTTGCTGCACTCCGTGGCAGCTACTGTTCCCTTCAAGGGCTGCAGCAGCAGCAGCTGCTGCTGCTGCTGCGCCCATAGGTGGATGCATGGTCGCGCATCTCCGCAGCAGCAGCAGCAGCAGCAGCAGCTGTTTCGTTCTGACCGTAGACTTCGTGCCTTTTCGGGGTTCTCTTGCTTGGGAGGCGATGGCAGCAGCAGCTGCTACTGCAAGTGCTGCTGCTGCTGCTGCAGCTGCTGCTGCGTGTCCCGCAGCTGCAGCAGCAGCAGCAGCAGAAGCAGCAGAGAGGCTGACGCGCTTCTGTGTCCCTTGCCCCTTGAAGCAAGTGGAATCACTGCTGCAGCAGAGGCAAGCAGCAGCAGCAGCAGCTCTTGCAGCCGTAGCTGCAGCGCCAAAGGGTGCGCCCTTGCACGCTCTTGCTGCAGCAGCAGCAGCAGCAGCAGGAACAGCAGCAGCAGCAGCAGACGCCACAGAAGACACAGCAGCAGTAACCCTACCAGCTGCTTCAGAGCGACGAAACAGTCGCAGCAGCAGCAGCAGCAGCATTACCCAGTGGGTGCAGCACCTTACCTTTGAGGTGTCTATTGACGAGGCGCTTGGGGCCCTCTCCTCTCCAGATACAGCAGCAGCAGCTGCTGCTGCTGCTGCTACTTCCAGCAGCAGCAGCACAATGGGCTCTCTTGTTGTCGCTGCTGCTGCTGCAGCATCTGCTGCTGCTGAAACGGAGAGCATGGAGACAGTCGTTGCCCACTTCAGGCGCATTCGCTATGTCTTCCGCAGCAGCAGCAGCAGCAGCAGCAGCAACAGCAGCAGCAGCAGTTTGCTGCAGCTGTTTGAGGTATGCCGAGGAGAGCATTCGCTGCTGTTCGACTCCGCTTCGCTCAGCAGCAGCAGCAGCAGCAGCAGCATGAAGCAATGGATCTGCTTGCCAGCAATATCTTGCCTAGTTTCATCTCTTAGCAGCAAAGTAGCAGAGCCTGCTGCTGCTGCAGCTGCTGTTACAGCGGCGCAACAGCAACAGCAACAGCAGCAGCAGCAGCAGAAGCAGCAGCAGCAGCAGCAGCAGCAGCAGCTCGCATCCCATATGGGCAAAGGAGCAGCGATGTCTCCAGTCGTGTCTCTGCCGCTGCTTGCGCTCGAAGCAACAGAGACACCTCAGCAGCACCAGCAGAAGCAGCAGCAGCAGCAGCAGCAGAAGGGTAATGTTGTTTGCATTCGTGCTGACGAGGACCTTCTGCGGTGGGGCGTGAGTTTTGCTGCTGCTGTCTCCGCACTGCGACCCCTTTTCCAGCGACAGCAGCAGCGGCAGCAGCAGCAGCGTGTAGCAGCAGCAGCAGCAGCTGCTGCTGCTGCTGCTGTTCCTGCAGTCTGGGCTGGGGAGCGCTTGAAGCCCCGCAGCATCGGGGAGGTGTTTATATCTCCTCTTCGTTTTTGTGTCTCTTTGCAGCTTCGAGGTGCTGCTGCTCTTGCTGCTGTTTCCCGCTGCAGCGTCGGGTTCCCGGTGCTGCTGCTGCAGCAGCTGCACACGCCGCTGCTGCTGCTGCAGCGGGAGCTGCTAGCACACTATACTGCTTTGCTGCTGCTGCAGACACCACAGATCCTTGCTGCTGCTGCTATGCTTGGTAGCTTAGGGGCCTCGGTGCAGCATGTTGTTGCTGCAGCAAAGGCGGTGTACGTACACCCTACTGCGAGAGGCGCTGCTGCTGCTGCAGCACATGCTGCTGCTGCTGCTCTCATACCTTTGGGCTCATTTGCTTCTTCCTTGCGGCAGATCCTTCCTACCTTTCCGCTGCGAGAGCTGCTGCAGCAGCAGCAGCAGACACAGCAGCAGCAGCAGCAGCAGCAGATCATGACTACAGCAGCAAAGGCCCTAGTTGGGGCTGCTGCGCTGCCGCTGCATGCATTGCTTGCTGCTGTCTCTGCTGCTGCAGCTGCACTTACACCGCAGCTCGTCGATGAGCTCGAGCAGCAGCAGCACCCTCTTGGCTGCCTTGCTTGTGCTGCGCTGCTGCAGCGAGTGCAGCAGCAGCAGCAGCAACAACAACAATTGCAGCAGCAAGTTGCAGAAGCGGCGAGGGAAATGCTACACCCAGACCGCATCGAGGCGCTGCTGCAGCAGCACCTGCAGCGACAGCTGCTGCTCCCCTGCAGCAGCAGCAGCTTCTGCAGCAGGACCCAACAACGAATAATGCTGCTGCAGAATTCTCTCAGCAGCAGATGCAGCAGCAGCAGCAGCAGCAGCAGCAGCGGTAGCAGCAGCACTGTGCGTCTCGCAGCAGCAATTGATGCGTCCCTCGGGTACTGGGATAGCCGCTGCTGGCTGCTGCAGCTGCAGCACAGCAGCAGCAGCAACTGCAGCAGCAGCAGCAACAATGGCGAGGACGAGCAGCAGCAGCAGCTAAACTGGCAGCTCCACGCAGCAGCAGTTGGGATGACTGTCTCCGAGGTAAGCAATGAACACCGCTAGGGTTTAGGGTTTAGGGTTTAGGGTTTAGACGCAATGTGTTGACGATGTGTGTTTGCTGCTGCAGCTGCTGCTGGCGTACATCAGCCCCCCTGCAGTCTGCGGGGCGGTGCTTCCTGAGGAGGGACCATTTGCTGCAGCAGCAGCAGCAGCAGCAGCGGCAAATGGATCGAAGCTCGGCAGCAGCAGGGAAGCTGCGTTGCAGCAGCAACAGCAGCAGCTGCAGCAGCAGCAACAGATGATCCTTAAGTTCGAGAGGTTCTATCTCTCTCAGGTTTCACTTTCTGCTGCTGCTGCTGCTGCTTACTGCTTCGGCAGCAGCAGCAGCAGCAGCAGACGCATCATGATGACGCCGCCTGAAGCCCAAGCTGCAGCAGCAGCAGCAGCAGCGCTCCAGCAGCAGCATCAGCAGCAACAACAGTATTGCAGCACCTTCCCTTATTCTCTTATTTCTATCGAGGCTGGAGGCGTCGCTCCGCGGCTTTGGCTGTTTACAACGTCAGCTAGGGTTTAGGGTTTAGGGTTTAGGGTTTACACCTGGATTAAGTCCCTTCTGCTTTTGTTTGGTGGCGTAGGGTTTAGGGTTTAGGGTTTAGGGTTTGCGTATGTGCCTCAGGGGTGCTGAGCGGCTGGAGGAAATGCTGCTGGTGTACAGAAGCTGCACCGCAAACCCTAAACCCTAAACCCTAAACCCTGCTATGAACTCTGATATCATTGGTTGCCTTCGGGTGGCTAGGCCATCCCAACTAAGGGTTTAGGGTTTAGGGTTTAGGGTTTAGGGTTTGGGGTTTCAGGTAAAGCTCGCGCTGCCCTCACACGGGGCTGGTGAGCAGCGGCTCTGTCTCTGTTGAGGCGTAGCTGTCTCCCTGCTGCTGCTGCTGCAGCTGCAGCAGCAGTTGCTGCTCCAGCTGCTGCAGCTGCTGCAGTTCGATAAAGTCTGATGCTGCCTCTGCAGCAATTTCTTCAGGCATGAGCCTGGGGTTGAAACCCCATTGCTGCTCGCGCTGCTGCTGCTGCTGTAGCTGCTGCTGCTGCTGCTGCTTCTGTTTGCTTGCTGGGGTCATTGCTGCTGCAGCAGCAACACAAAACGCGCGACCCTCTGCTTCGAGCTGCTGCACGTACAGCTGACGGGGGAAGCTAACAGAATTAGCCCTGCAGCAGCAGCAGCAGCAGCAGCAGCAGCACAGGGTGTATGCACACAGAGGAAGCAGCAACAGCGAAGCACAATAAACACTTTGGCGGTCTCTTGATGGGGTGTATAGGCAGCTATAATAACCTCGATTCAAATTGTGTACAGTGTACATACACCTGAGAAGTTGTGGCATTCAGGGATAACTGAGGGTTTATTAGGGTTTAGGGTTTAGGGTTTAGGGTTTAGATTTTGATTCGTGTGTGGAGAGATACAAACGCTGCTTTGCTCAAACGAAGGTAACGAGGGTTTAGCGTAGAGGGTTTATGAGGGTTTATTAGGGTTTACTAGGATTTACTAGGATTTGTTAAGATTTACTAGGGTTTAATAGGGTTTATTAGGGTGTATTAGGGTTTACTAGGGTTTGCGTATGAGGGTTTATGAGGGTTTATTAGGGTTTACTAGGGTTTACCAGGTGTATTGGGGTTCACTAGGGTTTACTAGGGTTAATAAATGAGGGTTTATGAGGGTTTATTAGGGTTTATAAGTGAGGGTTTATGAGGGTTTATTAAGGTTTATAAGTGAGGGTTTATTAGGGTTTAGGGTTAATGAGGGTTTATTAGGGTTTAGGGTTTATGAGGGTTAATTAGGGTTTAGGGTTTATTAGGGTTTACGTACGCGAAAGGGTTGTTAATTCTTTGTGCTGCATCAAGAACACCGTGATAAAACGTAGGCAGCACCAGCAGCAGCAGCAAATGCACACAGAGGCCCTGAGCAGCTTCCCAGATACGAGGTCTTAGGGTTTGAGGGTTTAAGCAGGTGCCTGCTCCTGTTGCTGCTGCTGCTGCTGCTGCAGCAGCAGCTGCTGCTGCTGCTGCTTCTGCTGGTGCAGATGCCGCTGGAGGCACAGCCAGGTCGCGCGATGGCGTGGCGGTGTCTGCTGCTGCTGCTGCTGCTGCTGCAGCTGCTGCTGCTGCTGCTGCTGCTGCTTCAGGGTCAGGGCTACCCCAAACTTGCTGCAGCTTGCATAAGGTGCTTGCTGCTTCTAAGCCTGCTGTTGCTGCTAGCAGAGTATTTGTTAAGAAAGTCATCACAAGCAGCAAATGCATATAAGCATAAGGAATAGGGGTTTGTACATACGCCAAACACTGAGATACACCTGCTGAACCCTGCAGCAGCAGCAGCAGCAGCAGCAGCAGCAGCAGCAGCAGCAGCAGCAGCAAATACACACACACACACACACACACACACACACACACACACACACACACACTCAACAACACTAATTTTAGGGTTTAGGGTTAATGAGGGTTTAGGGTTTAGGGTTTTTCAATGCATATAAGGGGTACAGATGTAGGGTTTGCGAGAGATTATGAGATTTTAGGGTTTTTAAGGGTTTTAAAAGGGTTTTTAAGGGTTTAGGGTTTAGGGTTTGCTTGCCCTCGAGCATATCTCCATCCACCTTCTTGTTGCTGTTGGAGCAAAGAGCAGCATCTCTCTTCTCGCTAACTTTGCGCCTGTTGCTGCTAACCAACACCACGGCATCAGCGGCCTCCCGCGCAGCACCGAGTTAAAACAAACTCTTTCTCCTCGAGACAGCAAACCCTCCTCTGCAGCACAAACCCTAAACCCTAAACCCTAAACCCTAAACCCTAGTGTGCACCGCAAACGCTCCCCGTCAATTCAACCCGTTCTGGGGGTTCATACAGTACAGGGTACTTAGGGTTTAGGGTTTAGGGTTTCAGCTGCTAAATCGTAAGAAAAGTATACAGGGTTTTGAGGGTTTAGGGTTTAGGGTTTAAACGGAGAAAGTACGTAGAAAGGGTTTACAAGGGTTTGAGGGTTGCAAGGGTCTAAACGGCTTAGCGAGGGATTAGAAGGCTTTTTTAGGGTTTAGGGTTTAGGGTTTAGGGTTTTAGGGTTTAGGGTTTAGGGTTTAGGGTTTACGGAGGAGGTAATGGAGGTCTTGGTTGCCCTGTGCAGCATCAAACACCAAATGAAAGCTGAGGCATCCCAAGCGTAAAACCCTTCTTACTATTGTTTGTCTGCTGCGTATCCAGTAAGGCTCCCCTTCTGCTGCTGCTGCTGCTGCTGCTGCTTCTGCTTCTGCTGCTGCTGCTGCTGCTGCTGGTGCTGCTGCTTCTGCTGCTGCTGGTGATGTTGCTGCTGGCGTAGACAGAAGAGGAGCAGCAGCAGCAGCAGCAGCAGGAGGTGTTGCTGTTTCTGTTGTTGTTGCTGCTGTTGCTGCTGCAGCGTTACTGTAGCCTTCAGCAGCGTCGTTCTGCTGCTGCTGCTGCTGCTGCTGCAGTGGGCTCTCCTGCTGCTGCTGCTGCTGCTGCTGCTGCTGCTGCGGCTCTAAATGGCAGCAAGTAAGAACAAGCAGATCGTAGACAGCAGCAGCAATTGCTGCTAAATGCTGTCTTAAAGACCACCACCTTGATAAAGAAGTAGAAACAAATAACCCTAAAAGCAGACTGACGAGCGGCGACAAACCACCAATTAGGGTTTGTAAACCCCCAAAACGCAGCGAAGATGCAGCCTGAACACAAACCCTAAACCCTAAACCCTAAACCCTAAATCCTTCATCACTAAACATATGCATAAAACCTAAACCCTAACCTCCGGATACACACGCTTCAAAACCCTGAAGCTACGAACTAGGGTTTAGGGTTTATGGTTTAAACGGCTAAACCCTGGCGAGGGTTTAGAGGGTTTTGAGGGTTTAGGGTTTAGTTTTTTTAACAAATAAAGTGTTTGGAGGGGTTTAAGGGTCTAACACCCATCAAGAGGGTCTATTGAGAGGACGTTCAAACCTTAGGGTTTAGGGTTTAGGGTTTAGGGTTTACGGGTTCGAAGATAATAACAAAAAGTGCTGTTGCAGCAGCAACACCCCAGTAGAAAGAGACTGTCCTCCACAGCCTTCTTGAGGTGAAGAGGCTACCCCTAATATTTGCTAGAGACGCTAAACCCTTAACAGGGTGTTTTAAAGGGTTTGATGCCCCCAAACCACAAACCCTAAACCCTAAACCCTCATCCCTACTGCCAGACTCCCCAGAGGAGGAACGCCAACCAGGCGACGCCCCAAACATCGACAAAAAACCCATACAAACCCTAAACCCTAAACCCTAAACCCTAAACCCTAAACCCCAAACCCTAGGCAGAAGGATCAATCTGCCCCCTCCCCCAGGCTCTCTCCAAACCCTAAACCCTCAAAAATGTCAACTTTCTCTAGCGAACCAGAGGAATAAACCCTAAACCCTAAACCCTAAACCCTAAACCCTCAGCTGCCCCCTCGGCGTTAGTCCCCAGGGTGTCTGAAGTTAAACCCTAATGAAACCCTCTGGCTTGTAAACCCTAAACCCTAATAAATACTTAAGAGCAAATAAACACACTTTTCTAAACCCTAAACCCTAGAAGACAACTCTGTGGGGCTTTAAGGCACTCGGGGCTGCGCTTATCGGCGGCAGCAGCGTCGCCTTTAGGGTTTAGGGTTTAGGGTTTAGGGTTTAGAAAATAGGGTTTAAGAACAGGGTTTGTATTTCATAAATTAAGGGGCGACTATTGGAATTCAGGGCTAAGGGTTTAGGGTTTAGGGTTTGCGTTTGAGGCGACAATGCTGGTCACCTTAGGGTTTAGGGCTCTCCAAACCCTAAACCCTAAACCCTAAACCCTAAGATCTGAGGAGGGTTTAGGGTTCCTTAGGATTTGTCTAGGGTTTAGGGTTACGTTAATTCTAAACCCTAAACCCTATACCCTGATAACACTAAACCCTCGACCTTAAACCGTCGAACTCAAAACCCTAAACCCTAAACCCTAAACCCTAAACCCTAAACCCTAGCCTGCAGATAAACTGCAGAAACCCCTCAACCCCCTAAACCCCAGTAGCACAAGCACCACGTAAACCCTAAACCCTCGAGAGTTTCCCTAGACCCTAAACCCTTGAGGAGGCCCCTTAAACCCTAAATCCCTCTAAGCTGCCCCTAATTTCCTAAACCCTAAAGAGGCTTCCTAAACCCTAAACCCTAAACCCTCAAAAGACAAAAGACCCCCTAAACCCCACAGGGTTGTGGATACTGCCGTTTGTCTCTTTAGAGGTAGTTGAGGTGTATATACACCTCAATAAAGTGTATATACACCTCAACTAGGTGCCTATACACCTCAAGTAGGTGCCCATACACCTCAACAAGTGAATATACACCGCAGGTAGGTGAGCATACACCGCAAGTGGGTGCCTATACACCTCAACAAGGTGCCTGTACACCTCAACGAGGTGCCTATACACCTCAACTAGGTGCCTATACACCTCAACTAGGTGGATATGCACTGCAAAGTAGGTACATATACACCGCAAATAGGTGCATATACACCGCAACTCAAGTTGGTGTATATACACCGCAACAAGCAGCTGTCCTTGCAGCAGACGGGGCGATAGCAAAGCCCAATAACCCCAAACCCTAAACCCTAAACCCTTGGTGTTAAGGGTTTCGTTTGTCTCCGTTGATCCCTCTGTCTCTGTCTCTTCTGTCTCTGTCTCTGTCTCTGTCTTCTTTATATCTGTCTCTGTCTCTGTCTCTATCTCTCTCTCTGTCTCTGTTTATATCTGTTTGTCTGTCCCTGTTGTCTCTGTCTCTCTGTCTGTCTCTGTCTCTGTCTCCTCTCTCTGCGTATACATTTCTGTCTCTGTCTCTGTCTCTGTCTCTTCTTTCTCTGTCTTCTCTATTTATATTTATATCTCTGTCTCTGTCTCCTCTGTCTCTGTCTCCGTCTCTATATCTGTCTCTGTCTCTTCTTTCTCTGTCTTCTCTATTTATATTTATATTTATATCTCTGTCTCTGTCTCTGTCTCCTCTGTCTCTGTCTCTGTCTCTTCTGTCTCTGTCGTCTGTCTCTCTTACTCTCTCTTCTTTATATCTGTCTCTGTCTTCTTTATCTCTTTCTCTGTCTCTATCTCTGTCTCCTCTCTCTCTGTCTCTGTCTCTGTCTCCTCTCTCTCTGTCTCTGTCTCTGTCTCCTCTCTCTCTGTCTCCTCCCTCTCTGTCTCTGTCTCCTCTCTCTCTGTCTCTGTCTCTGTCTCTGTCTTCTTTATATCTGTCTCCGTCTCTGTCTCCTCTCTCTCTGTCTCCTCTGTCTCTGTCTGTGTTTTCTTTATATCTGTCTCTGTCTCCTCTGTCTCTGTCTCCTCTGTCTCTGTCTCTGTCTCTGTCTTGTTTATAACTGTCTTTATATCTGTCTCTGTGTTCTTTATCTCTGTCTCTGTCTCTGTCTCCTCTGTCTCTGTCTCTGTCTCTGTCTCCTCTGTCTCTGTCTCTTCTTTGTTTGTCTCCTCCTTCGTCTGCTTCTCTGTTTAAATTTCTTGGGTCTCCTCCGCGTCCTTCACTCCGTTGCTGCTGCTGCTGCTGCTGTTGCTGCTGCTGCTGCTGCTGCTGCTGTTCCATTTTGCTGCGGTGTACGTACACCTCTCCTCTGCTTTTCTTCTTTAGATGTAATTTCTTTTGCTTCGTCTTCTTCTTGCTGCTGCTGTCGCTCTCGCTGTCACTGCTGCTGCTGCTGCTGCTGCTGCTATCACTACTGCTGCTGCTGTCACTGCTGCTGCTGCTGCTGCTGCTGTCTTTCGCTCGGCGTTTTTTGCGGGTGTATGTCTCGGGCTCCTGCTTGAGAGGAGGCCCCTGCTGCTGCTGCTCCTGTTGCTGCTGCTGTTTCTGCAGCAGTTGCTGCTGCCGCAGCACTTCGGGGTCTACGGGCTCCGACTTCACCGCCAGCAGCAGCTGCTGCTCTGCTGCTCCTGCTGCTGCTGTTGCTGCTTCTGTTGCTGCTCCTCCTGCTGCTGCTGGAGAAGACTCGCGCTTCTTTACTTTCGCCAACGCCGAGCGAGCAGCGCGCTTGCTGCGCCTGCTGCTGCTGCTGCTGCTGCTGCTACTGCCGCTGCTGCTGCTGCTGCTGCTGCTGCTGCTGCTACTGGTGCTGCTGTCACTGTCGCTGCTGCTGCTGCTGTCACTGCTGCTGCTGCTACTGCTGCTACTGCTGCTGCTGTCGCTGTCACTGTCGCTGCTGCTGCTGTCGCTGTCGCTGCTGCTGCTGCTACTGCTGCTGCTGCTGCTGCTGCTGCTGCTGCTGCTGCTGCCGCGTTTCTTTACTTCCTTTTTAGCAGCACGGTATATCTCTGCCTGTTCTTCTTTCATTTTCTGCAGCAGACGGCGGTCTCGATACCAATCCCCGTCAGTTATCCTGCAAACACCAAATTAGGGTTTAGGGTTTAGGGTTTAGGGTTTAGGGTTTGCTATCCTAGGGAACAACAGCGAAGGGCTGTACACTTCCTCCAACCTTACAGCACCTAGACTCTAAACCCTAAACCCTAAACCCTCGCAACTTACAGAGGGATCTCAGGGGCATCATCAGCAAACACCTGCTTCGGGTTCAGGCGAGGGTTTCTGCGCAAACCACAAACCACAAACCCTAAACTCCAAACCCTAAACCCTCAAACCCTGCTTGTGTTCACTATGCGCCTGCTAGTGGTGGTTTAAACGCGTAGGGTTTAGGGTTTAGGGTTTAGGGTTTAGGGTTTAGGGTTTAGGGTTACTTAAGAATCTGCGTCCGAGTGGGCCGCTGGAGGTACACCCGGCGATTGCGGCATTGATAGGTCCAGCTGCGCATACACCCCAAACCACAGCTTGTAAACCCTAAACCCTAAACCCTAAACCCTAAGGGAACTAGCTCTTGTTTCTAGCAGGCGTCCCTGGTCGAGGATTTAGGGTTTAGGGTTTAGGGTTTAGGGTTTTCTCACTGTCCATATTGCATGCATTTCTGGCACTCCGCCTTCGCCGCATCCTGTAGAGATACGCAAACCCTAAACCCTAAACCCTAAACCCTAGTCACTTTTCAATGCCGAGCTGCCGCCCTTGTGTTGCGGAAGTGTTTAAGGGTTAGGGCTACGGGTTTAGTGTTTAGGGTTTAGGGTTTAGCGATACCTTTTGCGTGGCTTTGTAGACGTTTAGCTCCATCTCAGCAACAAACGCAGAGGCCTCACAAGAGTTAAGGATTTAGGGTTTAGGGTTTAGGGTTTAGGGTTTAGGGTTTAGGGTTCCAAGGTCCACTGCCCCCACGCCTAACCCAACACCCACAGTTAGCAGAAGAAGAGAAAAGAAAGAACTCCTCTTTTGCTGTTTAGGGTTTAGGGTTTAGGGTTTAGAGAGGGTTTAGGGTTTAGGGTTTAGAGTTTAGGGTTTAGGGCTGGACAGCTCCGAGCAGCAGCCCTGCATGCATCCCAACTCGGCAGCATCATGAAACCCTAAACCCTAAACCCTAAACCCTAAACCCTAAATCCCCTTAAATTCACATGAATTTTAAACATGAAATGTTGAACACTAAACCCTAAACCCTAAACCCTAAACCATAGAGAATGTAAAACTACTCCTCCGTGCAGATAGCTCAAACGAAGTGAAAGCTTAAGTATGCTGTTCTTTCACAGAGGGTTTAGGGTTTAGGGTTTTGGGGTGTATTGGCTGTTGGGGCCTTCTCAGTTGCAGCATGCGTGTTGTTGGAAGAGGGGATGTCTGGCTGTGTAGGGTTTAGGGTTTAGGGTTTAGGGTTTGAGGAGGGTTTAGCGTCGAGGGTTTAGAGGTGGATTGGGGTTTAGAAACTCTACAGAGGTTTGTGTTCTTGAGGGTTTAGGGTTTAGATATTTATAGATACAAACGCGAAATCTCTAGACAAGTATTGCTACTGAAATGAACAATTGATTAGGGTTTAGGGCTATTAGGGTTTAGGGTTATTAGGGTTTAGGGTTTAGGGGTTTTCTAGCAACAGTGCTCCCGTCGAAGCCTGCGCCTAGAGCCAGGCTCTTCTCAACACAACGAAACCCTAAACCCTAAACCCTAGCTAATTAACTAGCTAGCTGGATAGCTAGCTAGCAGGATTCTTTTTTGTGTGTGCATTAGCACGGAAACCCTAAACCCTAAACCCTAGAGGTTCGTCTGAGGAGGAGAAGAGAGAGGTGCTGATTTCTCCTTGGTTTGTTTTAGGGTTTAGGGTTTAGGGTTTAGGGTTTAGGTGTTTGCTTGGTTTTACTCGCGTGGCTTTGTATCGTTGCCTCCACGGCTGCAAACCCTAAACCCTAAACCCTCATCAAGATAAATTGTTATTGGCGTCGGAGATCTAGGGTTTAGGGTTTGGGGATGCACGCAGCTGCTTTCTCGATTAGGGTTTAGGGTTTAGGGTTTAGGGTTTTGCTTCTTCTTTCCCCTGTCTTCGTTCTTCTGTTTAAATCCCTGCAAGAAGGTTTGAGGCTATCTCAAGCACCATAAACCCTAAACCCTAAACCCTAAACCCTAACAAGAAGAGAAGGAAGGTCTCAGGGGACCCCATAGAAACCTAGCCGAAGCAAACGCCACTGCCTAAACCCTAAGCCCTAAATCCTAAGCACGGAGCCCTAAATTATACACCCTAAACCCTAAACCCTAAACCCCATCAGCAAATCCAAACCATAAACCCTAAACCCTATCAACAACTCCAAACCCTAAACCCTAAACCTCAAGCTTTAGTTGCCCGTGCAGGCGGAAATTCTAAACCCTAAACCCCCAAACTCAAAACTTCCAAACCCTAAACCCTCAACCCCCAAAACCCTAAACCCTAAACCCGTGCTGAGCGCAGCTAAGGCCAGAGGTAAACCCTAAAACCCTAAACCATAGAAAACAAAGACAAACCCTAAACCCTAAACCCTAAATCCAAGGAAACGAAGACAACCAAAGCCACATAAACCCTAAACCCTACAACGAATCCTAAACCCTCAAGTTGCAAGACACTTGCACGGCCAAACCCCAAGCCCTAAACCCTAAACCCTAAACCCTAACACATAGAAACTCAGCAATATAATGAAGAAAAGAAGGAGGTGAATGCAAAACCCTAAAAAATAGACAAGACAAACCCTAAACCCTAGAGGAACAGCGCTGCTGGAGTCCAGCCCACAGGACCGCTAAACCCTAAACCCTAAACCCCAAACCCTAAACCCTAGAATGAAGCCCCTAGCTACAAACCTCGATGCTTCATGCCCGTATAATATAAAGAAGACATGCATATTTCTTGCTACAACAAACCCTAAACCCTAAACCCTAAACCCTTGCTACGGGCTGCTGCGGCTGTCGGCGGTGCGTTCAGGGGGTGGGGAGTTCGGCTGTGGTCCCTAAACCCTAAACCCTAGACTGCAAACCCTAAACCCTAAACCCTAAACCCTAGCCGTTAACTGTAAACCCTTGATTCTACGTTTCAAACCCTAAACCCTAATTCGCTTGTCTCGCAGCTCTCTACAACTGTCTGTTGGGGTGTCTCGCCAGGGGCTCCGTATACTCCAGCCAAGTAAGGGTTTAGGGTTTAGGGTTTAGGGTTTCGGGCTTAGAGTTAATGGTTTAGGGTATATGGTTTAGGGTTTGGGGTTTTGGCTGTTAACACACACGCTCTGAGCGTTGTTGCTAGGGTCTCTTGCTGGACCGCGGGGACGGCTGTGTGGTGATTAGGGTTTAGGGTTTAGGGTTTAGGGTTTGATGTTTCGCGCAGATGGTGCGGCTCTGGTTCCTCGCCGCGCCGGTCTGTCTCTGCGGCAGCCTGAGAGGAGGTAAACCCTAAACCCTAAACCCTAAACCTCGTCCTTCCGTGTGCATGTGCTAATGGGTGTATGGGTCTAGGGTTTAGGGTTTAGGGTTTAGGGTTTAGGGTTTGCGTGTGTTTATAGCGGCTGCCTTTCGTTTTCAACCGCCGCCCAGTCTGCTCCCCTCCCCACAGAGCCTGCAGCAGCAGCAGCAGCAGCAGCAGCAGCAGCAGCAGCTATTATCTCCAGTAGCACACTCTGCAGCAGCCCCCGCTGCAGTGAATGTGCACTCAACAGCAGCAACAACAGCAGCAGCAGCAGCACCAGCAGCAGCAGCAGCAGCAGATGAGCTGCCTGCTAGCATCCTCGATTTGCCTCCAAGTTATTTCAAAGGAAAGAAAGTGTTGGTGCGAGGAGACCTCAATGTAGCTGTAATAGAAAACAGCAGCAGCAGCAACAGCAGCAGCAGCAGCAGCAGCAGCAGCAGCAGCAGCAGCAGCAAGGGTTTGTATACAGTGACTGATGATACCCGCATGCGCGCACTGGAAGCAACACTGCGTTATCTGTTGGATGCGGGGGCTCGCGTGTTGCTGCTGTCGCACTTTAAAGACCCTAAGCTGCAGCAGGAGCAGCAGCAGCAGCAGCAGCAGCAGCAGCAGGAGCGGTTTTCTCTGAGGTTTCTGCAGCAGCCGCTGCAGCAAATGCTGCGGGTCCCTGTACACTTCGCCCCAAACTGCGTTGGAAGAGAGACAGAGCAACTTGCAGATGAACTCAAAGAAGGAGAAGT